AGACGCATAGGAAGGGGAAATGTCCTCTTTATGTGCGTCTCCTCCTCCGTCAATTAGGGTAGGCAACGCATCTGCAATTGCGGATGTTTATGGGCAGCGGTCGCTTTCCATTTCGGTGGATTTAGGTGGCCGCTTGCTCGTTTGTCACCTCGTATTTAAAAAAAAAAAAAAAAACTTGTTAACCAACTTGTTGACCGGCTACTCTACGAAGTATTTGATCAAGTAGTCAATCATCGTAAAGTGTCTTGTACATTTAAACAAAACACAAAACCAAATTCAAGTAATCTTTGTGTGCCAATTTGTTTTCACATCAGATTTTATTTTACGTTAGTCTTGATTACTATTCTTGTTCTTATTTCGTTTTGGCTAGTATATGCTTTTTAAAGCTACCAGCATTTATTTCAAGCTTTCGTTTGTCTTTATTTTGGCAATGATAAATGCTTGCAAGTACAAAACGTTGTTCCAGAACGAATTTTTATTTAATAAGTGTAACATTTTAAATAAATAAAATTTGGCGTAGTAATATTTTGTTGGGTAAATTAACTCGTAATATTACAAACATTATGAGCAAAGGAATAAAATGTGATGACGATTTTTGACTAATACTTTTTTTTTTCTTTTTTATTGTCATGAAATTTCTTTGACGTTAATGACAAATAGTCATAACATATTAAAACCAGTCTTTATAAGAGTTGGTGCACATTTTTTAACAAACTATTGCACATTGTTGTGCGATTGTCGTTTGTCGATTGTTTCGCAGCCAATTCAATTGTTTAGTTGTACAACTAAAAAGTAGTGGGCGCACCTTCATATAACCACATAGGAATCAAAGCGAGACTAAACGGTCGTGCGATGGTTTAGTTTCTGGTATGCGCTCACATTAAGTATATCTCTAATCTCTTCTAGTTCAGTTGAAATTGGAATAATGGATATGAGCAATTTTAAAGTATGATGTCTGTCATTGAGATGAAAAAGGAGATAGTTACTTGAAAAAAGTTGTTATATTTGTAATTACTGTTTCACATTTCCCGTATTCAAAGCTGTTGAATAGTGTCAATGGTTACAGAGCACAGCGTAGCAGAGTACATTCGAGTTTAATCGGGAACGGGAACAAGTGCGAAAGCTCTTTGCAACTTCATGTCAACACTATACACTAAAATAACTGTAATACAAATCATTAATGACCGGTTTCCCAGCTACTTTTAACCATTCTTATATAAAGAACGATGGTAGTAGTTTTAGTTTTTGGAAAACAGTGTAATACAGTGAAGGAAATTAATTTCTTTACCATTCGGTAAAATGTCATATGTAGTTCAAAATGCAAATAAATCAGAAACTTATCATGACAACTTGATAACGTACTAATTATGGACACAGTTTGCTGTATGATGTTCAATTCTAAATGGGGGTAGAGTTTAATTCCTTGACTGCAAAATAGTCAGACAAAAAATGTCATAAAAGATCTAAAATTGTTTAACTGGTTTACTCTAACCTATGGTATATTGAGGTCGTGTTACTCTATCCCCGTGCTGACCCCTTGTACCTCGACCCCTCTAGGAAGCCAGTACCTATGTCCTAGATAACAGACTATCAGCTTGTATTTTGCACATTTTCCAGACCGTGTAATGCACACAAGTAGCTCCTCAAGCGAATAAACCGTAACGCTTGAAACTTGCAAGCTCGGCGTAAAATTGATTTTATGTACACCCTCACAATATTTACACGGTGCGGTAACATCCTGTATAGCTAGTAAACTGGTTCAGCTTTGCCGGTTAGAGGATGCTTTATAAAATTAATTAGCCATACTTGTACATAGTTTAACGGCCTGTAAATATTTCGTAAAACCCTAACTGGGAAAACTAGCTTCAATAAGCCTTGTGCACCGATGACACGATTTTACAATAACAAAATACCGACGTTTTACGACCGATTTTCACTTTTAATACATTGAAACTATTATTTTGTACTTTGTAAATGTAAAGGAACACATCTTTCTAACTAGTCGTTTAATCATATTTTAATTTTCATGATAAATTTATACTAAGGGTTTCCCAAATTGAATGGACAGAAATATAAAACGGCAAATTGTGAAAAATGTGGCTCTTATTTAATCGAATGAATTATCCTTGATCTTAAGTCCTTGAACAGACTATTACTTCTTCATTTGGTCTTTTATTTTTCTTATTACTAAACAACAAAAGTAATTACGGAGTTTCAATTATAATTAACGAACCGTAAATTTATTATTAAACATAAAAATAACTGAAGTTTTAACGTGAGTACGATTTAACAAATACCCCAGTGACTATTCAGAACTGCGAAGTAGTTAAGGAGGACAAAAACGTAACAGCGTAGTACGGTAAAGCATTCCCGTGAATATGCTCTGACGTAAAAGTATGAAACGTTTCACCCCGGTTGAGTCGTAAACGGTATGAATGGAAGCGTCACAAAAACGTACGCACTTCAAAAGAAATACGAACAGTACATTCGAAGTACTTTAGAAGTCAACACGTTTAAACTGATTTGATTAGTCTCTTCTAGTAATATTCCATTTAGAGTAGTTATAAATTTTATTTTAAGTCAAACAATGTAAGGAAAGATAAATAATTCTCAAGATTATTTTTTTATTATTCTATTGTTCTATAAATGCTGTAATTGTTTTTATGTTTCCAGAATTTAATTGTAGTTAATTCTAAATAATAATTTAAAATCTGATTTTTCTGGCCCTTGATTCTAACGTAACTCATCGAAGATCAATAGCCATTACCTTTAACCCAAATTAGAAGAGTTGCCAGTTAAAAACACTTATGAATAGATTATTAAAAATTACATAAAGGAGGTATAATTGCTAACGAGTACGCTTTGAACTGAAGACCGTAATAACTTGCGACTTTCCTTTGTTTATTATTTAAGTAGTTATTTGCCAAGTTGACGCTCCTCGCTCATTAGCAGTTAAAACTTCGAGTTTAATTACGTTACGTTTTCTTAAACTATTAATTGAAAGTCCTATTAAACAAATATTAAGTTACTGTTGATAACAATAAGTGAATGATTTAATTTATTAACTACTAGCTGGTTCCTTGCGACTTCATCCGCATAAAATTATGAAAATTTTATTTTATTGTTTACATTTGTCAAATTATCAATAACAAATGTCAAAATGACTTGACATGACAAACCTTGGCAATCTTGCTTCCTTGATGTTGGCAGCAACTTATGGTCTCTTTCTCACATTAGGGTTTTTATCCAAAATATTTGCCCCCTAAGTTTAATGGCGTGAAAATATTTAGCCGTTAGCGTGGCGTAAGTGTCGGGCGTTTTATTAAAAATAGATTTATTCAAAAATATGCTGTAATTGCTGACATCGTAGGCAACAAAGAAGTATGTGTTAACGCTTTATTATAATAGCATAGATAGATATAATGGCATGGTATTTTTTTAAGGACGTTCTTATTCTCGTTTACCATGAGTTCCTATTTTCCAACCTTTTGTAGACGACGGATAGCCATGTGACTTTTACTTTGCGTCAGCAGGAAAAATCCTTTATGACAAGCAAGAAAACAATATTTTAATAACTACAATGTCATACCAAAGGACAAAGGTAGTATCTCAAATGTTTAAAAATAACTAAGCAAAGTGAATTTTCGAATGAACCAGTGTGTAAAAATAAAGAAAAAACATTGTACATGGAATTGGAAACAGTATGCACAAACTGTGTTAAATTTGGTGCAGTGAAAATTCGCATTCGACAATTTTTGCTCTTCTAAAACCTACAGGTTATTTCCAATTCACTAGATAGGAATTTACAAAATGGTTTTTATCAAATACCAGAAGAGTATAGTTTTTGTCATTCGTGATGACGTAACTGTTTTTTGTTTTTTATATTGTTTGTAGGTTTTACTGTGTTAGCACTTTAAGTATGTGATAAGTAATCCCTTTAATAAAGATTATTTAATTTGCTTATCTCAGATGGAGTTTATGTGTGTATGTAATAAAAGTTTTAGAAATGTACATTATCCTGTTATAGTAATAAAGCTGTCAGAGGTTAACGTAATACATATATTAAAGACATCATCATCATCTCCCCCTGCCTTATCCTACTCCCGTAGGGTCGGCGCGCCGGGTTTTCGTCCAGATATATTAAAATCTTTTAAACTAATAGAAAAAAATCTTTTAAATTAAAATAGACAAACTATGAAACCATTTTTATACGTATAAAATTACCCAACATTGCATCAATTGAATTAATTTAACTATTCAAAAAACATACACTTTAAAGTAAGCAAAAGTGAAGTAAATAAGTTCTTATATAACTTACCCTGAGGCTATGTGGCTTAAGATGGCACAGATCCATAACCTCAACAAAGCCAGTTATCTCTGCTATGTGTAATTTTACTTATCTCTGCGTGTAATTTTACTTTCAGGTTATGGCAACACTTTAATATCTGAACACTAATATGTTACACAAACAGTAACCACTTTGTTAACTTAGTACAAGTCTAGTTAGTAATTTGTTCTTATCAGCATCCTGTTTTAAAAACATTAATATTTATGTAGAAAATTATTTTTACGATCTAATTTTCAACAATAAAACAGTAAATACTTTAGCTAAGTATTGCCCGTAATGTATTTTCTATTACCTAATAAAGTATGCTGACTGTATGTTTATGTTGTCAAAATAAAACATTACAAATATCTTTTATTCTATAAAAATATATTGTCTATACAAGTGTACCTATAAACAAAATAAGACGTGCTTAGAAGTAAAAATTGTCTTACGATTTTTATCTCATCTACCAATTCATACTCTCCATCGCTAAAATCTCCTTTTTGTTCAAGTTATTCCTTATTAGAAAAAAGGGAGAACAAGTTTAAGTTTGGTCGTCCGATACCACACGTTCTTTAGAATAACATCTCTTTACTCCATGTCTCTATTGGAAGTTCATCAACGTCACATTTAACTCAGTACACCCGCTAAATTAGTACTTAAAAGTAATGAACATATTTATAGCTCCTCTCATGGTACAATTGCACTAAAATTCGAACGCTCGCTTCATTCTGCCGCCACTGGCAGAACTGATCTGACGTTCGAACGTTGTAGCTTGTTGGTTCAAAGGCGATGTACGAAGTAATAGATAATGTTTTCTTGGTTACTGGAGGTGCGAGCGGAATTGGTGCGGGAATTGTAAGAGCAGTTTTGGATCGCGGTGCAAAGGTAAAATTTATAAATTTATAATTTTATTTATCTTATTACATCAACACGAGAGGTTAAATCCGTTTAGTTCTTATTGTAATGCTAATAGATGCATATTTTTTGTACTCGTTATAATGTGTGCTCCAAACGTGTTAATTGGTTACGTCGTGAACATGTCTTAAATAAAACTTATTTAATCTTCGTTAATAAGTTGAAATATAAAAAAAAGTGTATTTCCATTTGGTCTTCAACAGTCAAGTATCACGCTGTCTGGTTATTTCGGCAAGCAACCGGTTTAACCACAGTAATAAAACATAAGCAAATTTTGACTCTCTTGAGATAAAATTTTGTAATTTGCAATAACAAATTTCTTGATAAACTCAAGAAATCCAAGTATCTAAACAAGAACCTAATGTTTTATCTAGTTCGACTTTCCTGATTTCGGTCCCAAATGCAACAAAAACTAAGTGTTGAATTGAAGGAAGGAATTCAGAATATTTCGATATTACGCTTAAATAAATAAATACGATATTTTGCAGCATGTCGTCATCTTAGATGTCGACGTCGTTCAAGGAAAGGCACTGGAAAAGGAGCTAAACGACAAACATGGAAAGAATAAGGCGAAATTCATTGAATGTGACATAACAACACAATTGCAAAACGCTTTCGATATTGCGTATAAAGAATATGGTTACATTGATGTTGTTATAAACAATGCAGGGATTATGAATGATGGTCCAAGAGTATATGAAAAAGAAATCGCCGTTAATGTGGTAAGTACACAAAGTCGCAGCCAACAAAAGTGACGTAATACAGAAATGCTCATTATTTTCGTCTGTACCTAAACCGCTTAACACACGTTTTACGGCTTTCTGGTATGTTCGATATATGCACAGAAAGTCTGAACGTGAATACTGACTTGTGGGTCTTATTAACCTCTTCAAATTAAATGAAAATGTGCGAGTACTATTTCAGTTAACAATTGAAATCGCGGCTCAAATTAGAAGTCTCTATTCTAATGCTAATAATTTTGACACAGAGTTAACCTACATTGTCGTTTCAGACTGCATTGATAACGAGCACCCTAAAGGCGTTTGAATGGATGCGCAGAGACAAGAGGGGTAAGGGGGGTACGATTATCAATATTTCGTCTATAGTTGGATTGATACAAACTCCGTTACTACCGATATACAGTGCCACGAAGAGCGCAGTTTTACAATTCAGCAATTGTTTTGGGGTAAGAGACATTTTAGATATTCACCATAATTCATTCGTAAACCATTAAAAAGATATTTAATTAAGATTCAACAAATGTTCCAAAACTGATAATTATTATTTTGACAGAACTTGACCATACACTAATTATTTTCATGTATTAAGAACTTATGGGCTACCGTAAACTGAGACACGTTAATGGAAGGTTCATTACCAATACAGTATTTAGTGATTGAACGACGAGGTGCCCAAGATGGGATTACATTGATGCATAGTACAGTAAAAAAAGTAGATAATAAAAAAATGTTTCTTATGACGTAACGTGCTTTAGTCACAATTGAAATGGGTAATAAATGATTCTAGCATATTTCAATCATACTATAGTGGGCGCTTTATTAACTGGAGCTAAACATAGCCTGGCCCAAATTGTCCAAACTACAATCGCTTACAATAGAACTACCATAATCACTAAACTGAGTTCCGTGTTGTTTGCGATAACCATTAGATAACACACTATTTTTGGATGATACTGAACCAATTGAAACTTCGTCGGAATTAGTTCCTACAAAATTGCTTAAAAATGTAATCCATTCAACATTTGATAAAAATACCATTTCTATGTGGGTTCTTTTCTATTATTTTACTATTTTTAATCGCATTCTTCTATATTATAAGTAAATCGAAATTGATGTTGGTCATACTTCAATGTATAATAGTATGTAACTTTACCTTGCAAAAATTTCTCTAATCGAAGTTCATCGTCCAATACCGCTTGAGCAATAAATGATTCCATATTCCATCTACCGTTATTTAAAAGGAAACGACGTTTTTAAATTGGCGGTTGGCGGAGCGAGTTGTAGAGTTGATTTCTAAATCTGGTGATCGAAGTTAAATTGTCCAAAAAGGTCATTATAAAACTTATTGTTTACATTTCTCTCTCATTGTTTACCTACTGTTGGACATAGGCCTTCCCCAATCTTACTAATATTATAAATGCGATTTAGATGGTTTGATGGATGTTTGTTAGAGTTTGTAGCCTAAAGGGCTGAACGGATCTCGATGAAATTTGACATAGATATAGAGCATAATCTGGAAGAACACATAGGCTGTTCGCTTTTGTTTTTTTTTCCACGGGGACGGAGTCGCGTGTCAAAATTAGTTGTTTATATTTGCAAGATTGGTGTAATGCACATTTGTCATGTTTTGAAATGAAATGTTGGTCTAAGCATCTCTTAATTTCTGCGCCATAGCAATAGATATTTCAAATATCGGCGCAAGCGCAGTCATTATGTACAACGCGAGATAATAATGCGATGTGAACATCGAATTAAGAATTTCAACACTTTTTAATATCATAGTTCAATGAACTATTACTTTTACTACTACTGTGTAGGCGTAATATGCAATTCCATCCCAGAGTATTGGATGCCTGATTTTTTTTTTAAATATTTGTCTTTTGTTTTTTGGATGTGTACCCCACACATCACGAATGAATAAGATACGAAATGAGTATATTAGAGGGAGTTTGAGTTTAACCTCAGTGGTAGAGAAGGTAAGCAGTAGAGGTTTGCTTGGTATGGGCATGTTAGATGAGGGATGAATCGCATGTTACAAGAACGTTAATTATGAGTATGGAAGGGTACCGGTAGAGGTAGACCTAGAAAGCGATGGATGGATTGCGTGAAAGGTGACGTGAAAAAAGGAGTGATGACAGAAGACGTATGATAGAGTTATGTGGAGGACAAAGCCTGTTGCGTCGACAGTACGGGAGTAGGATAAGGAGAAAGATGATGATGTTTGTCTTTTGTTTTTTCCAGATGGAGCAAAATTTCAAAGTATTCGGAGTTCGTGTTGTAACTGTATGCTTCGGTTGTACCGACACCTCACTATTGGATCCTCAAAAACTTGGTGGTTTCATAAAAGATATCGATGAAAACATAACGATCGGTATAAACAAACTGCCTCTGCAAAGGTATTATTATTTGCATATTGATTTATTGTATTTTCTACCCTATTAATATCTGATTTAAGGTTTATTTCATGTCAAACGATATTTATGCTCTGAACTAGGATAACATTTTTTTTTATTTGTTTACGCTTGCAATCTTTTAAAGTGTTTTGTTAATTGTGGCATTGAAAAGTGAAACACAAAAATTTAAGTACACAACACCCAACAAGTTACGCATTCAAATGTTCGCATTGTAATACATTACAGTGTGCAGTCTGCGATCGAAGGATTACTAACCGCGTACAGTCATGGTAACAGCGGAAGCACTTGGCTCGTGACCTCAAACAGGCCGGCTGAAGAAATAACGGAAAATGTTAAAAATGCATACAAAACGTTAAGTCAGGGAGTATTCTGAAAGGTCGTTAGAATGTACAAAGGATTATGTTGTTTTTAAGAAACATTAAATGCAGTAGCTTCTTTGAACATTTATCGTTGTGCCGATTTTATTAACACTTTCGGTGCTGCTGTGATTTTCCAATCCTGTGGTACAAGGCGTTTTAAACCTGGTCATAAAACTATTATTATGTCAGTACAGGGCTTATTAAACCCTATAATGTTTAAGAACTTAAATAATTTTTTGCTTTATGTAATTTTTTATTTTGTTTTTGAGCGGGTTTCGAAATATGAATATATGGTGTCCAATGGTACTAATTTCCTTTAATAATAAAATAGAAAAAACAAGCTACGCGCACTGTTGTATCATATAAACAAGGTGTTTTAGACCTGGTATCGCACTCAATGTGTTAAGATTCTGCTATAGTTTAAATAAAATATGTATGTGATGTAAAAAACGTAAATTTTAACAACTATTTTTGTATTAACGATATTTATTAAATTTGAATTGTTTTCAGACGTGCATTTCCAAAAAAATATGTCGATAAGATTATAATAAAGTGCTATTGACTATCTAATTAATTTATTAATAAGTAGGACAAAAATATAATAAAGGTGATACAATTAAAGTATGTTTTCGTCCGTTTTTTTTTAGTTTTGTTTTAATTTTTTTTACACTGTTGTCATTTATTTACGTCCTTATCTCGAATGTTATCCGTTTTGTCGGTCATTGACCTTTACAAAATATTAAACAAAAAAATGTCTAACCGTATTCAGTATTGCCCAGACATCGTTTGGTGATAATGTTAGATATTAAAAACAAAGTGATAATAATAACTGGCGGAGCCAATGGAATCGGAGCAGCTACTGTTGAAATATTCTTAGAAAATGGGGCAAAGGTTAGATTATTGTTTATTTTGCATTGTACACAATGGAAACCTACTCGTATGACTAGAATCAGATGTTTATTGACAACTCTATATTATGGTGACTCTTTTTTTATAATAAAAGGGGGCAAATGAGCGGCGAGATCACCGAGGTAGTCAACGACGCCCATGGACATCCGTAAAACCAGAGGAACTACAGTTGCGATGCCGGCCTTTGAGGAAATTATAGGCTCGCTTCTTAAAGGAACCTAAGTCGTATTGGTTTGGAAATACCGCCGAGGACAGACCGTTCCTTTTCAATGCACTAACAAAAACTTAATTATCCTAGATTTTAAAGGAGAATGAGAATTATACCATACCGTTTAACGTGATTTTTATATTTCTCTAGTAGAAACAGTTATTGGAAAACAAGATAATCGTCATTCAAACATTAGGATAAATATATCCACAAATACCTATTAGTGTAACGTTTACTCATTGTGTGATATCTTAGGAAGTATAGTCAAACAATAAATTTGTTCTACTTCATAGCAGGTAGCGGTATTGGACATCGGTGCTAACTCCTTATTCAAACTGGAAGAAAAATTAAGCCAAAAATTCGATAAAAGTAAAGTGAAATTTATAAAATGTGACGTAACTAAAGACAATGAACTCTATGAAGCATTTGATTCAGTTCAGAAAGAAAACGATCAAATAGACGTTGTTATTAACAATGCTGCTATAGGTCAAGAAACGATGGACAGTTATAAAAAACTTATTGAAGTTAATTATGTAAGTAAATCCCTGATTTATTGTACAGTTATACATATAATAAAATTGAAGTATCTGTAATATCAAAAGAAAAATTCCACATTTCGGGAAGGTGATGTATTTGCATTGCTGATAACGAAAATCGCATTTAAAATTTTTTTGTCTGTCTGTCAGTAAGCCGCGTTTGTTTCGGGTAATCCCCGAAACGGCTGGGCCAATTTCGACCGGACTTTTACTGAAAGGTAACTGACTTAGACGGGTATATTATAGGCTACTTTTTATCTAAATATTTCCTGGACGAAGTCGCGGGCAACAGCTAGTCCTAAATAAAATTCAACAAAATTAAAAGTTTGTAAAAGAATCGCAAACAGACACAGCAAATATAATATTTAACATTTAACAGTTCTGAAATAACAGGCGCATAATTTGTATTGTGTAGTAATCATTGGGTTTTTTTTCCGTTATTTTCAGACAGCACTAGTTACGAGTACTCTAAAAGCTTTAAAAGTAATGAGAAAGGATACTGGCGGCAAAGGAGGGACAATAATAAATATTTCCTCTGTCGCGGCTTTAGATCAACCGTCTCCGAGTTACTTTATTTATTGCGGCAGTAAAAGTGCGGTACTTCAGTTCAGTAATTGTATTGGTGTGAGTATTATAAAATTATTTACAACGTTTTCAACTTTCATACTACGCAACTTTAATACAAATTGCGACATCTTTGGTAAGACGGTCACGCCTGTGATCAGTATATCCGTTTTGTTTATATTTCTTTGAACGTATTGAAAAAAAATCTATAAATTCGATTAAAATCTTGTCTTATCCTAGACAGAAAAAGCATATTTGTATATTATAATTGAAAACATTTCACAGAAGCAAGAATATTATTCAATAACTGGAGTAAGAGTGTTAACTATATGCTTTGGTGCTACCAATTCAGACATGATACCAAATATGAGAAGTTTCGACCCAATCGTCGATGAAAAAAAGGACTCTATCAGCAACAACTTTCCCAGTCAAACGTATGTCATGTTATTTTACATAAATTTTTAAAACCAAGCAACGCGTAATCGCGATATAAAACCAATATTCGTTCTCGGGCTATTTTTTATTATCTGCGGTATAAATTAATTCTTATCAATCTGGTGCAAATTTATCGTAGAAAAAAGTTTTTAGGATCGATGATTCGTCCAAATACCTAATTAAAAAAATAATCGAATTCAAATAATTTAATTGAAAATCGTAAATGGATTTCGATAAAACTGTGTTCGACTTTAAAAATGACAAACGTGTTTTTTTTTATTTCAGCGTGAGGTCAGCAGCTGAGGGTATGGCCCAAGTTTATCAGCATGGTACCAGTGGAGATACCTGGCTTGTTAACAACAATAAACCTGCTATAAACATAACTGAAAAAGTTAAAAAAGCTCACCATATTTTATCTGAAGACTTATTTTCCTGACTTGTTCATTATATTGTGAAAAAAAATTAACAATTTTTCCTGTCGCATTATGAAACAAAGTTGCATAGACACTATTTGTTTTGATTTTTTTTGGATCAAGCGCTCCACGACAAGTTAAAAAAGCTCACCTTATCTTATATCTGTTGTATAGCTATACAATAATTATAACACCAAATACTTGCTGAAGAAGTAACATATTTCAGATATTCACTTCATAGTATGTTTATTTATTAGATAAACTTTAGCTAACACTTAAACTAAAAAATATGACACAAAAATGTTGCATTATCAACTGTAAATATATATATTTTTTTTATAATTTTATTTTTTTTTTATAATACGAGGTGGCAAACGAGCAAGCGTGACCTGAATCCACCGAAATGGAAAGCGACCGTTGCCCATAAACATCCGCTATTGTAGATGCGTTGCCTACCCTAATTGACGGAGGAGGAGACGCACATAAAGAGGACATTTTCCCTTCCTATGCATCTCCTTCACCGTCCAATCCACTTTTTCCTCCCATCCTTTCCTCTTAAGAAAAGGGTGGAAAGGAAAAGGGACTAAAATTAGGCCTCCGGCACCATACTCATCAGACGAAACGCGGAGTTGCTTCCACTTCACGCCTGTTTTCTGTGTGGTCGTGGTATTACACCGGGCGAGCCGGCCCATTCGTGCAAAGATGTAAAAGCGGGCTCTACCACTGTTAAAAAATATTATGTTAAAATATTATAGAGTCGATGTTTTTTTGTCTCCAAAAAACAAAGCTAAACATCCTTTGTTCTATACAAAAACGTACGATTAAAATGCGATTTTTTAATAACAGTTGTCAGTGATAATAACGAAATCGTATGAAATGTTTACGAATTTTATCTTATCCAAGAGATAAGGCACGTAGTCAATTGCTTATGCAATATCGGTTATTGAATCTGAAAGCAATATTCGCATTTAGTTTGACATTTTTATCTACATGTTTTGTACGTTTTTATGTTTCCGAATATATAAAAAATACGTTACAAAAAGCTATCTGTAGCATGTTTAAAGAACTGCTATTAAATTAAATATGGAAGAAAATTTTATTTTTGAAGGCAAAGTGGTTGTAGTGACTGGAGGTGCTACTGGCATTGGTGCTGGATTGATCCGGAGTATATTGTCACACAATGCTAGGGTGAGTTTAATTCCTCTACAAGTGCTAAAGAAGTCTTATGCGTCAATATCCTGGTGAGCACAATTTTCTGTACATTACCGTGGTTAAGACTTTATTTTGTTAGCTAATTAACTGGCACAAACCATTTTAATTTGTGAGAATGAGATACAAATGTGCACTATTAAAAGTAAACAAATTTCATATTTTAAAATTGATGATTGTTAATAGGATTTTTTTTTTCAGCATGTCACATTTCTCGACCTGGCGGAACGTGAAAGCGAAGCTTTAGAGAGAGAGCTTAAGAATAAATTCGGTACACTGAAAGTTATGTTCATAAAATGTGACGTATCCGATGAAAAACAAATGAACGAAGCTTACAACAAGGTGCTAGATAAATTTCACAGGCTCGATATAGTCATAAACAATGCAGCAATCCTCAGCGCTGAAGAGAATTTGTACAAGAGAATGGTTGACGTAAACTTTGTAAGTACAATGCTTTTTTCAATTGTTAAGTATTTTGGAAGGCGATCGACAATTTTCAATACTAGTATTTTACTAGAGGAAGAAGCACAGTATGGACATCTTAAGATCTAAATGTTTTATATTAAGAAGGATCTTTATCTACCGTAGACCTTAATTTCTTAAGCATTTGCTTACATTTTTCAGTATGCTGTTATATCCAGTACTTTAAGAGCCTTAACTACAATGGCTGTAGATAGAGGAGGATCAGGCGGGGTCATCCTCAACGTATCTTCTATGCTGGCTCTTACACCCAGTGAAAATTTTGCAGTATATTCTGCTACTAAGGCAGCTGTTCTACAGTTTACAAATAGTATTGCTGTAAGTTTGACTAACATTTTGTCTCTGTTATAGTATTATACATAAAAAAGTTATGAGGGTTACCGTATCAAATATTTTTATTCTGAAACAAAGCCCCGGTAATCTTATTAACTCGTGCATGTACTAAACTTTGTAGCTATACTCAACCTTCTGTTTAAATTAGTTTCTCTCTAACTTTCAGATCAATAAATCTTACTCCAAATCAGAAGTTCGGGTATTGTCAGTTTGTCTCGGACCAACCGACACAGCGATCCTCCACAAACACAACTCGGAACTTTTCGACAAAGGCTGCACGCAATGTTTTACTTCGCGAGTTCCAGAAAGACAGAGGTAACCTTACCAGAAAAGTTTAACGTGCGTACGTGCGTGCGTGCGCACACCTGAGACTATGGCTCGCTTTGATTGCTCTTTAGTTATTAAACTAAACAGTTGAATTGGCTGCAAGACAATCGACAAAAGCACAACAGTTGTGCGATACTTTAGTTAAAGGTGAGCGCACGCTCTTTAGATTATAATTTTACTATATTCAATTCAAGATATTATTTCAAAGCTAGTAAAACGGCAACCTTAAAAAAATACACCTATTTTTTTGGGAAAGTCAAGATAAAGGTAAAGAGTGAAAGTTGCGTCGCAATTTTAAAGTTGTACCATTTTATTATTTCCAGGGTTGAGTCAGCTGTTAAAGGTATAATTGACGTAATAAAGAAAGCAGATAATGGCTCAACGTGGATAATAGCTGGTAATAAGCCTCCTGTAGACATTACCGTAAGCGTCAGGGAGGGACTTCAAAATCGTTGCAACGACACCGGAATATCGTAATGTTACTTTTAATTTTTTTTATATTTTCCTAAAAATGTAAAAGATATTTTTAATAATAAAATTGTTTTAAATTTGTTTATTTTCGGTCTTTATGTAAACCTTTTCTCACTTCTATAAGGATGTCCTGTGCTTATGGAAAATCAGTGTTGGAATTTCATTTGAAAGCCTGATTCCCTAATACTTACAAGAAAGGAATTATTGAAAAGAACAAATGTAGCATGAAAAAAACATATTTTAATGGTAATTACAAATATTTCTTCTTACAAACACCATTTTTTTTATCAATGTGCTGTCGATTGTGTTTCAGATGTTCCCTTATTACTCGAATATACCTTCTGATAGTATCTCGTAGGCCTTCCTAATTCTTGGCGTTATGTTTTGCGGTGGTTTATTATTACAAACCAACCAGGTGTCGCCACTATCACCTTTTTCATACACTTCTACTAAACCTCGTGACGCAGACTCCACGCTGTGAAATAATAAGAATACTTAATTGTATATTATTATATTATCTTAGTAATATTCTAACTGCGAGTGTTTAGGTGGATGGATGGATGTTTGTTAGAGTTTGTAGCATAATTGTTTAATGGATCTCGATAAAATTTGTCATAGATGTAGAGAATAATATGGAAGAACACATAGGCTATTTATTTTGTTTTTGTTTTTTCCTTTAATTCTCAGCGAATGGAGACGCAGGCGCAACTAGTATAGACATAAACATAAGGAGGCTGTGTATAATTGTGGTGTCAAGTGCTTGCATCAGTTTATGGCACGACCGCATGAAATTAGATTTCAAACATTGCTAATAATGTTTTCCACATTTCACTATTATGTAATCTAAAGACTACGTAAGCAATTGCTGGTAACATGCGCTTTTTGCACCGACTGAATTATAAATGATTATAATTGCAAGTGTACTTAAGTTGTCAACGCAAAAACATTTACATAAAAACGTGAATTCAATGAGAGAGAATAACACATTTTGTCGTCAATGCTTGTAGTGTAAACTAACGTTTATGAAGAATAAAATTACCTTTGCAAAGGAAACTGCTTAACAATAGGTACCATTTGTTGATTGACGACGGAATCAAAACTGCTCATATTGCGGAGTAAAGCGGTCTCGGTGCACCCGAAGCAAATTGTGATAATACGAACACCGGTTACATCGTAATAATTCTGCAACTGTTAAAAATTACAATTTAATATTAATGATTTTTATACTCATGACTGGCAATTAGTTTCATATTTGACATTTCAGAACCACTATCAAATAAGTAATCAAAATTAATAAGTAAAGTAAGAGCGCGCGAACATTTTTGACTAAAATATCAAACAACTGTTTAATCGCACTTTGATTTCTATTGGCTTTTGAAGGTGCGCATACTACTCGATTTAAGTTATGCAACTAAACTGTTGAATGTGCTGCGAAACAATCGACAATCGCACAACATTGCGATAGTTTAGTCCAAGGTGTGCGGACGCTCTAAGTACGTAAATAAAGTTATTGTGATGATCTAAGCTGATTCTATCATGACTAAAAAGTTGATGAGGTTAAGTAGGTACCCTCTTCTCATTGAAATAAGGTTTGTAAGTAATATCTTCAAGTTATATTAATAGTCATAGGCTCCGAGCTCCTCGGTGGGGACATATAGTGAGCTGGTGATGATATCAATAGTCACGAAACATGACTTACTCCCATGCAGTTGCTGAACTGAAGAATAGCACTTTTTGTCGCAAAGTATACAAAATAGGTTGGAGCAATTTGCATTAAAGCGGCAATTGATGATATGTTTATAATCGTGCCACCTTTGCCGCCGTTATCCTTTCTCATAAATTCCAGGCCCTTTAATGTGCTCGTGACCAGTGCTTTCTGAAAATAATTATCTTCATAATACGTCTCTATCTCTGACAACAACGAGACAATTTTATGAACAAGAACACATCACTACAAAATTTAACAAAGTTTACCCCCTTGTATAAGAAAAAAGACAAGCAAAAAGATCTAAATAAGGTGATATTTGAGGACCTCTGGTTAATCGTCCTAAACCAGGCAATTGAATGATGACATTTCACAACAAATTTAGACAAACTGTCTGTCCGGGCGAAATCGGGACGGGTCGTTATTTATTAAAAGCAGTTTAAAAGTAATTGATTCATATTCTGCTCCGGTAATTAAGGTCACCACATGATAAGTTCGTTCGCTTTTATAGGACAAGAGCCAGGTGCCTTAAAAGACTTGACGTTGGCAACTTGTTCCAAAAGAGTAAACAAAAAACGTGAAAAACATCCACTTTGTAAGCGATTGTGTTTTGGGCTCATGAGATGTCGGCCATCTTGAGCTCGCTTAATGAAAGATTTTAGATTAACAATAATCAATTATTGCTTTATTGCACATTAGCTAGTTATTAACGTTGAAGATTTATATCTGCTCATTATTTTCCTGCATGATAATTAAGTCACAATTTATTGTTCCTATCATCGCGAAATAATTTATGTAAACACAAAAATGTTTTTAGTAATCTTTTAAATAAGCAAAGATAAACCTTAAGTCTTACGGAATTGTTGTAAATTCATTAATCTCAGTAGATAGTTTATTACGTTATTTTTTTCAAGTAATCACAAAAGTGTAAAAGTTTGTAGCCTAAACTGCTGAACGGATCTCAATAAAATTTGGTATAGATGTAGAGGATAGTCTGGAAGAACACATAGGCTACTCACTTTTGTTTTTTTTATTTCCACGCGGACGGAGTCGTGGGCGAAAGCTAGTGTCTTTATATTTAGTACTTTGTGTGATTTTATTATACTTTATATATTTGTGGTAGGTCATAAATATTAAAATAATAAAATTAAACTTATCTGATGTACTTACAAAGTTAATGTCGATTAATTTTTTGTAATTATCCGAAGTCTCTATTCCTATACCTGCGTTGTTTATGATGAGATCTATGCATCCTTTATCTTTGATCACATTATTGTATGCTTCGTTTAATTGTTCATCATTAGTTACATCACATTTTATGAATTTCAATTTATCCTTTCCATAAACTTCACCTAATTCCTTCTCAAGTTTCAATCCGGATTTATTGTCAATATCCAAAAATGCAACAAACTGTAATAAAACACTAAGTTTTGTCAGATGCTATACAAAATCTTTATAAAAAGGATATAACATTAACAGTTGTTTACACACTTTAGCTCCTTTATGAAGGAAATCTTTAACAACTACAGCTCCAATGCCATTAGCACCACCTGTTAGAAATACTATTTTATCGTTAACTTCAGCCATTGCGCTTAAAATTGTAATATTTTAACAAGAATTTAAGAAAACTTGCAACAGCAACGCACGAGCAATCACTTCAAGATTCCCACCTTGACTAATGCAAGAAACTTAAGAAAATGTTACCAAATTTATTAACAAGTTTTCTTAAGATAAAGGATAGAACATATGTTTATCTCTATTTTTCAACGAAATGAAGGGGACAGCAATATGTTCTGTGTAAGTGTTTCATTAGTGGAGAGGGACTATAAGAGATAAATATAGAAATCGCACTTAGAATTTTTATTGTCAAATTAAAGCGAAGTCAAATTATGCATGATAATTTCAAAGGAATCGGTAACCAAATCAAGAATGCACAAGTTCAAATAAACACTTTCGTATCTTGGCAGATAAGGTAAGTGTATCTGTAATTGGGAATTTGGTGTCAAAAGTGCAATATATGTCGTTACATTGTGACTAGACATATGTAAGTCAATTCTTAACCGGTTCAAAAGCTCACATATAGCTGTAGTCGTTGAGCAAACAACTAAATTAGCAGCTCATGGCTCAACGCCATGCCACGCCATAAATGGAAGTCACTACTAATGAGCTGAAAACTTCCCGATGATTCTCAACTCAGCCAAATCATACCTTTACAAGACGTGACGATTCACTGAGAGAAGTCGCTCGTGAGTGCAGTGACATGATCTGCATGAATCTTAGAGCGGGCGCACACTTTTGACTAACCTATCGTATTACGGTTGTGCGATTTTCGCTTGTCGATTGTTTCGTAACCCATTCAATAGTTTAATTGCACAACTAAAAATCGAATAGTGTTCGCACTTCCATATAAGATCATAGGAATCAAAGCGATACTAAACAGTGATGCGATATTTTAGTTAAAGGTGTGCGCCTTATGGCATTATGGCCTTTGGCTTGGTCGATGAATTTCTTCCGCCTCGGTATGTTCATGGTCATTAAAATTGTTTGATGCTTCCTTCTTAGTAATTAGTAAATATCAATTGAATTAAATAACAAAGATAACGCTGTATCTATAGATTACACGGGTATTTATAATATTTGACATTGGTCGTGATAGGTCATTAGATAGAATGATGCACGAATTAAAGGGTAAAGTTATTTTAATCACTGGAGCTGCCACTGGTATCGGCTCCAAGGTGGTGCAGATAGCTGTTGCTGAGGAGGCAAAGGTAAACCTATCATGTATATCTACGAATACTTCGTTGTTGATTACTAATACTAGCTAGATTCTATTGGAATGTTCCTTAAACATTTTGCAAGTAAAATTAGTCTTGTCATTCAAACGTATTTTATTTATCAAACCAATTTAAAAGACGCCTCTCAATCATTTTAAAATATTCTTGTGACCTCTGAATCAGTTCAGTTTTTCTTAATTTACATATCTACAGAACAGTACACAGTCAATTTAAATTACAAAAAAATGAGGACAGATTTTGTAAATACACTGACATTTGCTGTTCCTATCACTGAAATTCCACATTCCTCGCAATGTACCAGACTTTGCCGCTTTACAAATAAATAATTACTTTTGACTGTACAGTGTTGAGTAAGTTTAATATAATTAATAATTTCAACCTATCTCTTTTACCTATTATAACAATATTAACATGAATAATTTCATTAATATTTTATCACTACTGCAAAATTATTATATTTGTGATGTCGTAAGATCACTATATGTTACGATCGGAAGTGACAGATTAATTACTGTGATAACAATTTAGAATTATTTATTTTCAAAGTAACACACACTATTTGATAAGTTTATCGTTTTGCTACAACCAGAAGCCCTATTTGTACCGCAAAACTCAAATATTACAAAGAGATCATGTACATAAAAAACGTCAGCTAACAGGATTATTCCAGGACATACAGGATCCATACAGGACAGATGAGAATAAAAAGTTTTAACCGTCCCGCCTTTTGTAAAGATGGGATGGTTGGAACTCATTTTATGAAATAAAATGAGTTCCATCTGTCACCTTAGTAGTGAGACTAAAAGGTGGGACGGATGAAACATTTTATTCTCACGTGGGGACAGGACAAACGTCCGATGTTTTGTAACTCGATAAAGATCGGAGTTACTTCATTTTTTTTTTCAATAAATGCACTAAAGCTAAAACAATAATTAATTACAGCATGTTGCTATCCTAGACATAGCAGAGGAAGCAGGTATCGCGTTCCAAAATGAACTAAACACCAAATACGGGAACAACAAGGTACAATTCATTAAATGCGATGTATCAAATGGTGAAGAATTGAATGCAGCGTTTGCCAAAGTCAAAAATGAATTCGGCTACATCGATATTGTGATTAACAACGCAGGCATTCTCAACGACAATCTGCAGGTTTACGTAAAACAAATAGACATTAATGTAGTAAGTATCTTTGTTAATAAATTCCATTTCATATTTTTTTAAATTCTATTAAAGTCACCGTTTCGTTTTGCAATTTCATTTTGCGAAATTACAATGGCTTGGGATATGATAAATAAAATATTTTCTTTAATCAAACCTTCTTAACACTTTTAAATTCTTTTGTTTCATGCCAGACAGCTTTGGTTACTAGCTCTTTAAAAGCATTAGAGCTGATGCGCAAAGATGAAGGAGGTAACGGTGGTGTTGTGATTAACGTTTCATCTGTAGCGGCTGTTTGCGCCGTACCTGATACACCAATTTACAGCGCAACTAAAGCAGCAGTATTGAAGTTTACTACGGCAATGGGTGTTAGTATTTGACAAAGTCACAAAAATATTAACTACATTATATTTGTACAATTGACTAAAGTCAATGTTTTGTTTTACCAGAGTGACTTGTACTATTCAAGAACAGAAGTTAGATTCCTGACAGTTTGCTTCGGAGCTACTAACACGCCATTACTCTCCGTAGAAAAAATGGGAAGTTTTGACTCTGAAGTCGAAGCCGGTATTGTGGAAACATTAAAAACATTAAAATGGCAAAGGTAAGAAGTAATATTCAAACTTTGCAATAATTATGCAAGTTTCTGGTTGCAAGAGATACAAGTTACAAGTTGCAATGTTACTGGTTCTGGTTTAAATTAAAAAACAGTCCAAAATCAACACATGTTCGAGGTCTTTTACCTATTCAATCTATTTGGTTCCCTCACTAAACCATTTCTGTTGTTGTGAAGATTTATAATAATGTTTAATTTCTAGCCCGGAGTCCGCGGCTCGAGGAGTTGTCGACACGTACAAGAACGGAAGAAGCGGCAGCGTATGGTTGATAGCTGGTGGCAAACCAGCCATTGAAGTGACCGATTTGTATAACAAAGGCTTCGCTCTGTTTGATCACTTAGTGTACAATTGAATTTTATACTCACACTTTATTAGATTATGTAACTTGATGCACCAATTTTAATATTAATCAAGTAAACTTTTGATTAGCTTGCAATAGTCTTTGAGTTGTATTATAAAAAATCCTTATCCTGTATATTATATATTCAGATCTCCTCTAAGTTATGACATATTTTACTATGTTAAAATGGATTTTTAATAAAAAATACATAGGAATTGCTATGCTGGTAACGATATAATAAATCCTATAATTGCATTCATATGTAATTCTCGTTTTTTATTTAGAGAACTTCGACATCTTTGAAGGCTGTTTCATTATTAAAATTTTCTGCAACTAACAAAGTCTTGTCCATTATCTGCCAATAGATGGCGCTAGAATTAATTTAGTTCTACCGTAAAAAAAAGTTTAAATAAAAACGTACCGTAGAACAGATTTATAATTCTTCATTATCTAGGCCATTAATTTTAATTATGATGGTGTACCCATTAAAGCATATTTTCTAGATGATCAAAATAACCGTAAAGTAACGTAACATTAGCAAGATGGTCATCTCTAAATCTCTAGAACAATGACGTGTTGCTCGAATGTCATTGGTTGTTATTGGTGGTTTGATTTGACATTGACGTTTGTTTCTTTTTTCTGTCAAGCCGCAGTCAGGCGCTTCGCCCTCACAGTCTTTGCTGTTTTTCAATTTATTCAGTAACGTTTTGTAGTAGTTGAATATTGTAATTGTAAGAACAAGTCGTATATTTAAAATCGAATTCGTGTGTTGTGTGTTTATTTCTGTAAAATCGTATTGAAATACAAAATGAATCCGTATCAACAAGTGAGTAAAATTTATAACTAGTGCACGTAGATAAAATAGTTAACCTTGTTTTGTTTATCACAAAAAGCATTGCTCGGAATTCTTGGATTTATTATAGTTTTAATTTAATTTTAAGGGCCAATCGGGGTATCCGCAACAGCAATATCTACATAACATTGGATTTTGCAACACAGCTCCACAGTCGTTTGGAAATCCGATGCCGATGGCGGGTTTTCCCACAATGGGCTATCCCGCGCCGCAGCCCGGATACCCTGCGGCGTCCGGATATCCTCAAACTAGTCAACCCTACCCACAACAAAATACCGGGTATCCCCCAAGTCAGGGTTATCCAAATACCGCTCAGGGGTATACCCAATCTCCTCAGGGATACCCTCAAACTGCTCAAGGATATCCACCATCTGCTCAGGGATACCCACAATCAGCTCAAGGATATCCACAAGCTCAAACAGGGTACCCCCAGGCAAGTCCAGGTTATCCACAGACAGATAAATATCAGGGCTACCCACCCCATAATCAGTCTCATTCACAAAGCCAACAAACTTACAATGTGTCATCAAACCCAATGGCAAACACACCTAAGGTATGTCGTGACTATTGTTATTATCACACATTTCACATAATTGTGCTAATTTGATATATTTATTTGTGATAAACAAGACATTGGCTTAACTAAATCTGTGTTGTTTTGGCTTTAAATCTGTATATTAGCTTTTTTTCTAACAAAATATTTTTATGCGCAAATATAAAAAAAGTATGGGTAACAATTCCCAGAATATCATACCAAAAATTATAATGCATATAATCATCAATATTTCATTTTATATGTTTTGAATTGTCAACTAACACAAAAATAATATTAGGGAAGTTCTTCCATAAGAATGCAAACTTAATACTTAATTTAAATATGTTCTGTAATGTTCTCATTATTTTGAATGTTTTTTACATCTTATGTTTAATCAAATTATACTACACTTTATCAATCGGATAGTAAATAGATAGAAATAGAAAATGTAAATAATTTTATTGTAAAATAAGAGATTAACAATAACAATTACAGTTATACCAATTAAAAGATAAATACAAATTGTGGTTAATATACAATTAATCTGGTGATGCCCACACTAGGCAATGCCAGTATCGTGAGCATCCAAAACAGCAAGAAAAATCTTTTCATACATTAATTACTAAAAACCAGACTTACTTTTGTATTAGTAATATTCCTGTAGAACTTTTTCAAATCTACAATTCCTTCATACATAATTTTTATATACCTCTAACTGTTAAAGCAGCATAAGCTAAGAAAAATAAATTTTAGTGATTTTTAACACTGGAGTTCAGAAATATGCTCTTTATTAATAGTTCGTAATCATTAGTAATAATCAAATATAACTTATTTTACTCACAGATAAATTACTTTTCTAATGGCGAAAGAATTTTTAAAATCGGCCTAATAGTTTTTACATGAATCAAATACATAGAAAAATACAAATCTTACCTCTTTACAATATTAGTATAGATAGAAATTGTTTAAATAAAATTATCCGCAATGAGAACAGTTGACACTACAACTACAAAAGATTGTTATCAATTTATGTTACAAAAGAATGCCCTCGGTGCTTAAACATGCACATGTTTTATACAGTGCGGGGAAAACATTTTATATATTATTACTAGCTGTTGCTCACGTCTTTGTCTGTGCGAAAATATAATAATATAAAATATAGTCTTTGCTACTCAAGGATATAGTAGGTATTACTTGGTCTAAGAATTTTTGAGTGTGGTCCAGTAGTTTTTGTGTTATTTCAATACATACAAAAATACAAATCTTTCCTCTTTAAACTATTGGTATAGATGGAAATTGAAATATTAAATACATCCTAATTAGTAGAATTGAAGGATAGATGTTCATTGAATTCCAAAATATAGAGGCTTTTACATTGAAGGACTAAATAAGGTCTTAACCATTTTGCTCAAAAACTATCATGCTAATATTATAAATGTGAAAGTTTAGATGGATGGATGGGTGTTAGTTTATAGCATAGTAGATATCGAAGAAATTTGAATAGATGTAGAGCATAGTCTGGAAGAACACATAGGCTACTTGCATTTGTTTCTTTTATTCCATGCAGATGGAGTCGTGGGCGAAAGCTAGTGGTTATAAAGAGTATAAGAGATACTCTAAATTAGTCCAGTGGTCAAATGTACTGTCAAATATCAAAATGTTTTAAATAGTGGGTGATACATCTAAGTATTGATTTCATTGTGTGTCTTTCTGGCGATGTGCCAATTGGGTTGTTATTGATTTTAAGAGTCTACCAATTTCCTTATACTCTGTAAACTGAATGTGTAATTCCTGTAACTCAAGTAAAGTCACGTTGTGGATCATGGACATAAATGTATCTTTAATGTTGATACAAAATATGTTATTCTTAGTAATTCTTTTTTGCAATTTGCATTTATCTTTTAGGGTGGTAATCACTAGATAGAAAACTTTAAAAAAAATGGTAGATGTTCTTTTTCATTGCCTTATTCGTTAATATGACTTCAAATATGGATCATTAATTAACTTTGTGAGGCTAATCTTTATCTATCCTAACTTTTTAAATTTATTTTTTACATTAAAAAATATAAATTGTTCCTATTTTCTCGGATTATTGATGTGTATTTATGGTAAGGTATTTATCAGTTTTATTTATTGATACAAAATCGAAAAGGAATACGATAATTCTTTGGATATAAAAGTATTGCAGTACAGAAGTATTCCCCACTAAGATTCCTGTGATACTGACTTACGAAGCAACCATACGTATATGCTCTCGCTCTATTCAAGGAACATTTTGCAGCAATTACATTGTTATGTTCACTTCGCCTCGTCGCGGACATTTATCACAATAACCCACGACTTGGACTCAGTCTTGACTTTGGTCCTCAGTAAAATGGGTCTTGTGCATTCGATAGTATTTTGTTTCATATTTGGATAGATTTCTGTGTTTCTGTGCTTGTGATGTGACTATTGTGTTCTGTGTTGACTGTGTTGTTCCCTTGTTAATATTTCCTAAATCAATATGTCCTCAGTCACATCTAATTCTAGTATGCGCAGCGCCTATAGAGCCACGATAGGATTACGGCGCGGGTTCAAATCGTTCCGTTTCACGGTATATATTTTTACGCTTCATTATTAGTTTTATTCGATTTAGTTAAGGTTGGTTTGATGCATTGGCAGAATGTGGCTATAACTGTAACTTATTGTCGAAACATTTCTACAAAAATATTGCCGACTCTTTTTTATTCAAGTATAAGAAAGAGATAGTAAATATAAATACGTAACTGGTGTCTTGCCAATGAAATCTTATATTGAAGTCAAACAAGGACCTATATCTACTTGTTTATTTCTTAATGTTTGATTTTTTTAATGTTGAATCAGATCCTCTATTGAATAAACAAGAAAGATTACCTTGTAGAAATATTGCTTGGCTATTGGCTAGCCTGTCATGGTCACAATCGTGTGGTGATTCATGCGTCTGTAACTGGAGATTATCAAAAATCTAATTGCTGTAAAATGTTTACTATAATTTTTAAACGGACGGTATTTCTTTGTGAATGTTTAGACACGTGACTAAAGTAGAATTGGTATAGTCTACGTTTATAATCTTTTTACTATGTTTTTCATAAATATTACGCTTAAACTATGCAAACTTTTTAACCCACTCGCATGAGGGAATCTTTATAAAGGAAATCCTAAGGCAATTGTAATCCACCCAAACTAACAAGGTGCATGGTGACAGATCTGTCCAACTATCTAAAGTCTACTACACTCTAATTTAACATCTATTTTATTTCATAGTCCAAACCGACTGTGGTGCCAGTGAACCCATTCGACCCTCGCGAAGATGCGGCGATCCTCCGCAAGGCGATGAAAGGCTTCGGCACTGATGAAAAGGCTATCATACAAGTGTTGACGCGCCGCAGCAACGAGCAGCGCCTACGCATCGCTTTCGAGTTCAAAACTCTGTATGGAAAGGTACGTTGTTACAAAGAAAAAATACTTTTAGACTAAGAATATTATCGTGATGGTATTACAAAGATATGCGGTTTTAGAACTTCATGCCTGGAATACTTTTCTACATAGAAGTTTATTAGGTGACCAAACGTAATATAGATGGTCTATATGTATTAAAGGAATGGAACAAGTTTCCGGCGAGTTATAACGTGGGTGCCTTCAAGAGCAGGGTGAATCGGTACTTCTAAGCTAGCTCGTAACATCTTTCGACCGGGTCTATACTTAGTCAGTTAAGGGGGGATCGTGGTCAAGCGCTTGTTTATTTATGAAAACAAAAATGTAGGTTACAGTGTAATAAACGAATTGAATAAACCCACTATATTTTATGTATTTCCAAGATAGTGGGGTATTAATCACCACTAAAAGCACACTTTGGCACCAAGTCCTTCGAGGATCGAGGCAGACTGTTATTGCTACCTCAATTAATGAAATGTTATCAACCACGCCTATATTGCGTGACTAGAACAAATTTTATGTAAACGCCTAAGCCCAATATGAAGGCAGAATAGATAAATAGCCTGTAGTTTTTTTGGTTGTTTCAAATAAGCGATGTCGAATCGAACATTATTTGAAACAGTTTCGTCTACTTGTATGCACTTATAGATAGTTGAACTATGTGACGCACGTTCCGTCACTATGGAGTTGAGCCAATAGGAAAATCGATGATTAACTTGATTAATGGGAAAACCCGATTATTTACATTTAAAAAAAACTCGTACGATAATAAAAATACATAATAAACGATATGTGGCAATGCGTTTACCATGTGGATAGTTTATAGTTAATTAGTAACTATATTACGAATTTATTATTTACAAGCTGTCGCCCCCAAACTTCTTTAGCACATAATTAAATCAAAAATGGTCGTATTTTTATGCGTGCACCTTCTATCAGCTACCTTCCAGTCAAAGTACCGTCAAAATCGGTCCACCCTTTCCAGACCCGGTCGGCATATTGATAGCACGGAACTTAAAAAAAATAACCTATAATATGTCCGTCCATGTCATCTACCTTGATCTATCATGTATGAAACATGATTTAATATTGCGTAGATATATGTTCGGGGAATTACCAAGTAGGTGTGTCACCTTACGTTGTGGACCTCTGATACTGTGAGTGTGTCAATATTCCCTATTCATTGAGCACGGTACACATACAAACATAAATTACACATCAAATAAACCTTTTCAAATAATTTCCCCGGAGTACTGTGAAGTCGCGTGAGTTTTCTTTTTCATGCAATACCAATATTATGTTTCCTAGGTAACATAATCAAACAAGTCTAGAAACCTAGTTTTTTTTTAAATACGGTTAAAAAGTCTCGTCTGCGGTGTTCAAGTAAATGGGGGCATTAAAATGACGCTATAAAGTTACCGTATGGATCTATATAAATTTAGAACCTACAATAATATATTAGGAAAAAAAATTTAATTGCAAGTACCTAATGTTATTATTAGAAACCACATGATAAGCGTCAAGTGTAGGTTGCAACAGGACGTGTTTGAAATCGAAACGATAAAACTTCTGTAATATAGACATGATTGTTAAAAGTATAGATCAAAAATATCGAAACTAAATGAATTATTCATCAAAAAAGTGTGCTATTTTATTTAAGTCACGCATCAAGTGAAAGTACAAGTTATATGTATTACTTTTGAATGCATGCGAGTAGAATAAGATACAAATAAAACATCAAAGAAAGGTCCAACGTAGGACCTAAGCTATCCCAATGCCTGTTAATCTTCTTTCTTATAGACTAGCTGTTGCTCGTGACTTCACCGGCATGAAGTTAAAAAATATAGCCTATTTTACTCACTATAGACGTAGCTTTTTAATGGCAAAATAATTTTTAATGAGGCAAGTAGTTTGGGTTATTTCGTACCAGAAACATACAAATCTTTCCTCTTTATAATATTAGTATAGACGGTAATAAACAGGAAAGCGTAGGCCCGACGACAAGCGTATATAAATTACATGTTTGTATCTATAAGATTTGTTTTTATTCAGGATCTAGTGTCGGATCTGAAGAGCGAGACTAGCGGCAAGTTCGAGGACCTGCTGGTGGCGTTGATGACACCGCTGCCGCAGTTCTACGCCAAGGAGCTGCATGATGCCACCGCCGGCATTGGCACCGACGAGGACGTGCTCATCGAGGTCATGTGTACTATGTCTAACCATGAGATACACGTCATCAAGCAGGCGTACACCGCCAGTGAGTATACTGATCGCTATAGTAGTTATGTTTGTGTGTACTTATGTATGTGAAAGTTCATTGACCTTTTACGGTACGTATAGGTACAGTTTGATAGCATGTAGCTACTTAGATATCTCCTCAAGGATATTTAAAAAGATAATGCTTGGGTTTCCTACTATCGGAGAATTAACTGGACTGTTGAACAGTAGGACAATACGCCAATATTTTTTGCAATCACTTGTATTTGACTTGTCACTTGTCCCATGTATTTCTTGTTATCGAGGAGTTTTACATGTTATTATCCTTTGTAAACAGGTTTTTGCAAGGAAAAAGTTTCAACCAGTTTTGTTGTGTATGTTATTTATAGTTTTTCTAGTACTCTCACTTAGGAATTTAGATGACACATTTCTACTGTTTCCTTTTATCGCTGATTAGTCATGTGAATTGTTTTGTAATCACAAGACAAATGAAAATAACGCAAGTGCTTACATACAAGTAAATTGTCTATGGAATATTATAAAGAGGAAAGACTTTTTGATATATATGTTTTTTGTATATATACAATATTACATTGAAATATCTTAAATCCTACAAGGCCGTTAAAAAGCTACGTTATCAGTGAGTAATGTGGGCTATGTTTCATTAGTTTTTTTTTAATTCCACGGAGACGAAGTCGCGAGCAACAGCAATTTCGTTTTATAATAAACTGTTTTATCAGTATTTTGTACCAGTATCAGATTTATTTATTTGATAACAAAGACTGTTAGAAAGGAAATGACGTGTTTGCTGATTCATATTAAATTAAACTAATTGTAGTTATATGCAAAGAGAAAACGTATTCAAACTACGTAGGTATGAGTAATGTATGACGTAAGCTACACAATGTATGAAAAAACCGCGTATTACGAAACAGCCTCGAGCTAATGAATCATTTCCCTTCTTAAAGTACACTTGCTTTAAATAATACTGTAACAGCGGTGTGTACTTGTGGTCAATAGATTGTTATCTTAAATTATCAGTCATACAAGATAAGAAACGGTAGAGAAGGCCCTTATAATGAAATCTTAAAATGAATACTTTAAGGTAAATTTACATAAAATGAAGAAAATAAAAAATAAATAAATAAAACTCGAAGAAAATAGTCATTTTTAAAATCTCTAATGTCCTCTCATTTACATAGTGAACTCTATCGTGCTATTAGGGTTTTATTTCGTTTAAAAGTAAGATAATTGTCTCTCGAGAATGAGAATGAGGTCTTGTCTGTGGTTTTTTTTATAACATAAGGTAGCAACCGAGCACGCGGCCCCCTGAATCCGCCAAAATGGCGAATCGCCCGCTACCCAAAGACATCCCCAATTGCAGATGCCTACCCCTTATCCGATGGAGGAGGAGACGCACATAGACGCACAAAAAGATGATATTTCCCCTTCCTATGCATCTCCTCTTCCGGCAAATCCACTTCCCGTTCCCATCCTCTCCTTATAAGAAAAGGGTGGTAAAGAGAAAGGGAATTAAATTAGGCCTGTGTATTTACATTTCGCTTGCATCGATAGTAATATATACTTTTTAATGTAATTATTTCAGTTTACGGAACCTTGCTCGAGGACGATCTGCGCGGAGATACGTCTGGCAACTTTAAGCGACTTATGACGTCACTGTGCATGGTAATTGTTTTCCTTGTCGTGTAAATATATAACTCCTTTATATCTACTACTGAATTAATATACCATTATATTTAACAAAACAAAATATTATATTTAGTTAATCTTAAGTAAGGAAATTGTAATTTTTCTTCTAAGATTCTTAAACCGTCTATTAGACGGTATTTGTTAACAATAATTTTGTATAGAACAAAATTCTAACAATAATCTCCTCATGTTCCAGGGTAACAGATCTGAAGATTTCCGTGTAGATCAAGAAAAAGCTAGAGAAGATGCAAGAAGCTTGTTGCAAGCAGGTAAATTGGTTTTTAATTATAGTGTTGGAATATCGATTATAGAAGCAATTCCGTATAAATACTAATCGTTTTATTTGAATGTCTATAGCAATGTCGTGTAAAGCAGAGGCTAACAAACAGTTTTCCTTGTGGTCCCATTTCAATATTAAACTAGTTTGATGGACTCCTATTTTTGTGTTGGTTAAGGGGTTCTTAGAAACTCGGGAAAAATGTATCCAAAGGAATTTAGTAAGATTTATTGAACATTTTGTTGATTTTTACATTATTAAACCATTTAAAGTGGAACCCCAGTGATCGCCCACGCTAAGTTTCGTGACTCCAAACCCGGACCACTTAGAGATCAACTTGTGTAAAAAAAAGTAAATAAAAAAGTGAAGTGTCTGTAATATCAAAAGAAAAATTCTAGATTTCGGGAATATGTTTTGCGTTGCTGGTAATGAAAATCGCATTTTAAATTTTTTGTCTTTGTTGTGTGTTCCGATAATCTCCGAAACGGCTGGGCCGACTTTGACCGAACTTTCACTGAAGAGCTGACATAGACAGGCATATTATAGGCTATTTTTTATGTTAATACTAGTTTTGGCCCGCGACTCCGTCCGCGGAGAATTAAAAAAAAAACAAAAGTGAATAACCTATGTGTTCTTCCAGTATATCCTCTACATCTATACCAAATTTCATCGAAATCCGTTCAGCCGTTTAGACTACAAACTCTAACAAACATCCATCCATCTAAACTATATCTATTAGTAACATTACATGGACGTCGCTAGTTAAAAATATAACGTAGACAATGAATTTTTAGTTATGTAACTGTATGTTTCCAGGTGAGCTGCGGCTGGGTACGGACGAGTCGGTGTTCAACGCGGTGCTGTGCTCGCGCTCCTTCCCGCAGCTGGCGGCCATCTTCCAGGAGTACCACTTCCTCACGGGACACGACATTGATGATGCCATCAAGGCGGAGTTCTCCGGAGACCTGGAGAAGGCGCTGCGAGCTATCGGTGAGGACACTTCCAGTTTTGTGTCTCAAAGTGGGTTTTACTGAAAGAAAAATGATTTAAATACCTTTGCAGAGATTCAAGTAAATAGAGGAGGCATAATTGACATTTTTTAATCATCACTAACGCTATCTACTAATAGATCCCCAAAACTACGTCAGTCATGACATTTAATAATGTATTATTTTTAATAATGTTTTATTACATGTCAATACTAGGACATGAGGTGGTACTTAACTTGACAACTGATATATTACCTTTAAGAAAAAGTACCGGTGTAAAAAATATTGTTCACTATGCCTCGTCTATGTTATTTAAATTTCTTTGCTTTTATGTAAGAAACATGTTTTGTCACATAATTAAAACATGTTACAAAGCACTTATTAAACATTTCTGCACGCATGAATGTCGACCAAAGGGTATACGCAGAACTCATGAATTAGTTTTTCTAAACAATAAGATCATATTCTATTTATTAGACGTTATTTGTTAACAATAATGTTCTCCAATTCCAGTGAAAATTGTGCGCAACAAGCCGTTGTTCTTCGCTGAACGTCTGCACAAATCTATGAAGGGTCTCGGCACCAACGACCGCCAGCTCATACGCGTCATGGTGACGCGCTGCGAGCTCGACCTCGGCGACATCTCCAACATGTTCCACTCCAAGTATGGCGAGACGCTGCAGAGCTGGATCGAGGTGAGACTGAAACAAGTATATCACAGAATAACGAGTGCGAAAGAGACGGGTGACAGAGCTTGATCGAAGAGAGAATGCAACAAATGTATAACATAATGACGAGTGCGAACGAGATAGTTGTATCAGTGATGCTGTATGGTAGAATGAAATGGATGCAGTAGAAACGTATGCGACAGAGATGGCTGTAGAGCTGGCTTATGATGAGACTGAAACAAATATATAATAATGAGTGCGAAAGAGATGGGTGATAGAGCTTGATCGAAGAGGATTGCAACAAATGTATTACAAAATAACGAGTGCGAAAGAGATATATGATAGTTTGATGGAAGTTAGAATGAAATAGATGTAGTAAACGTTAACGTGTGCGAAAAAGATGGCTATAGGGATGGATTATGGTGAGACGGATATAGATATATTACAGATTAACGCGTGCGAAAAAGATAGTTTTATAATAAGGCTAAATGGTGGAATGAAAAAGATGTCATAAAAATTCACGCGCACGAAAGAGATGGATGCAGAGCTGGATTATGGTGAGACTGAAATAGGAATATTACAAATTAAAGCGTGTGAAAAAGATAGTTGAATCGTAGGTGGAGATGAAATAAAATAGAAATATTGGAAATGTAACTGTGCGAAAGAGATGACAAAACTGCGGAGCTAAATCGAAACGAGAAAGGAGTATCAAAAAATTGAATAAGGATCTTCGTTTTATCGAAAAGTTTTGTCACTTACGAATCTATTATATTGTAACAGTTAAAATGTAGTTATTATTATTAAGCAATTTGTCTTATTAATATTTTTTTTATTTCCAGGGCGACTGCTCCGGCCACTACAAGAAATGTTTACTGGGTCTGCTCGGCCTTTATTAAGCCGTCATAAAATGCACGCATCTTATGTCTTTGGTGCATATTTTTTAATTCAGTTTTATAATTATGCTAATGCATAGCTAATAAAAGCAACTGTTTATATAATTTTTGGCTATTCTACAATTCTATTACAATATTTATATGTAATCTTTATTAATGTTATATACAGAAGTATTTATATGCTAAAATAATTAAATTATTGGTTAATCGCCTAATGTTTATTGCGGCTTAGGCATATTTATTATGCGTGCTCACTGAAATAATGTCACATTATTATGAAATATTAAAATATATGTTAAAATTGACCGTCCGTATGATCTGATATTGGAATCGAAATACTTTTTGATTATTTACGAAAAATAACTTAAAAAAATCTCATGTCAAGTATTAAAATGTTTGATCTTATAAAATTATTATTATTACTACAAAAATGTTTAGTACAAGTATGCCTTTTGTATTTCCTATGTAAGTGCCTTTTATGCTTTTGTCAATGTGAAAAATATACCAATTTGCCTTGAAATATGTTCTATGTAACTTAAGAAAATGTATACTGCTTTGATTGTTATATTCTATCTATTATAAATACGAAAACATATTCCCATCTCTTTCGTTCTTCATGAAATAAACAAAGACAATTTGTTTATGTACAAATTATTGGGCAGTAGAAACTCACGGTTATATTGCAATTTAGTTGTCACAAGATTTTTTTTTAGTGATCCATGCCGATCTGAAAGTTTTTTTTTATTTAAGAATTTTAAATCCGTAGATTTATTTTTGTTAAAAATTAAAGCGAAATTTTAAAGTGCCAAAATCATCTCAAATTCGACTTTTACGTGTTCTTTTTACATATTGAAGTAAAATATATCGAATAGTTCCTACTATGCCTTATAGTAGGAGTTTGAGTGATCTTGAAAATCTATTAAATTCGAAATCGTTTTTGAATTTAATTTACAATAATTGTTACATCCAATTTACGTTTATTATGTGAATCTGTTTCCCACGAAATAAGCATTTTATATAAAAAAATATGTATTTTTTCTATATGTATCGTATTTATTATTCTTTAGTACATACGTTAGGGATGTTGCTAAAATATCGATTAAAAAAACCAGACATTTTCAAATATACAGCGTTTTTAAAAATAGTTATGTAATTTATACGAATTTCCAATTCCGGAGGCCTAATTTTAGTCCCTTTCCCTTTCCACCCTTTTATTAAGAGGGGAGGATGGGAAGGAAAAGTAGATTTGACGGTGGAGTAGACGCATAGGAAGGTGAAAGTACTCTATGTGCCTCTCCGTCAATTAAGGGTAGGCAATGCATCTGAAATAACGAATGTTTATGGGTAGCGGTCGCTCTCCATTTCGGTATATTCAGGTGGCCGCTTGCTCATTTGCCACCTTGTACAGTAGAACCTCGATAAGTCAAACCTCGGTAACTTAAAAACTTAAAAAAAATGATATGTTCCCATCAGAGCCCAAAACCTCTATAACATAGACCCTTGATAACTTGAAATATTTTGTGTTTCCCTTGGATTTTAACTTATCGAGGTTTTACTGTATTATAAAAAAAATTGATGGCATATCGACCCATCAGATAAATAAAGTTACATGTCTTGAAGCATCTATCAGATGTAACTGTTTTCTTTAGACTGTTTTAAAAATGGAACCATTTTCCCGTCAATGTATGTTAAATCCCTAACGTATTTTAGAATCTCCCACCTTTTTATTGAAGAATATAAATGACAATTTTTTTAATTTCTTTATATAATTAGCAGTAAGTGAAATAAGATTAATTTAAGATACACCTAAAAGCTTTTTCGCTTCGATTTAATATGAAGATGTTCTAAACGGATTTTAATGTCGAAATGTACTGTTATATTACATTATTATACAATAAACAGTTGTCACTTTAATAAATATTATTTCTTAAATGTGTTCTTTTATTTATAAACTTTCCTTTGAAACGTCACAATAATCTTCGATCTCATTTAAACTTTTTTATTGTTGTTTAATTTCCTTACTAGGCCATTGTCTCTGTATAATAATAGACACATTCTAATTACTTAGTCTTCTGTCTACAGAAGACAGGAGTGAAGTGGAAGCCATGCTGCGTTTCGTCTGATGAGTGAGGTCCAATTTTATCCCTTTCCCGTTCCACCATTTTCTTATCAGGAGACTCAGTAAGGGGAATATCATCTTTAAGTTCGTCTCCGTCGATTTAGGTAGGCAACGCATCTGCAATTGTGACAAGCCTGCGCCGCGTAACTAATGAGCAAGCTAGAAAGACAGAGTTTTTTTTCACAAAAAGCGACTGCAATGGGCTTAATATTGGTAGGTTAACGGTTTACTAATAATACATGCTCATATCGATAAGTTTATAGGACTTCAGTAAAGAGGAAAATAGCCTTATTGTTCTCAGTGTTTTGAGTTCTTTATGCGAAATTCATTGTTTAGGTTTTAGTATTCTTAAATGGTGCGGGACCTGTAATTACACTTTTTCAACACTGAAATCATATCCTCGGTAGTATAGTGGTAAGTATCCCCGCCTGTCACGCGGGAGACCGGGGTTCGATTCCCCGCCGGGGAGAACTTTTTGTATTTGTTGATCTTATTTTATTAATTCGATGTCACTTTTATAATCATTATATCACATACTAGCTGTTGCTTGCTACTTCGTTTGCGTGAAATAAAGAATATAGCTATGTTACTCAGCGATAACAGCCTTTTACTGAACTTTTGGAATCGGCCGAGTAGATTTTGAGTTATTTCAATACATACAAAAATACAAAAATACAAATCCTTTCCTCTTTATAATATTATATAACATATAAGATAACCAAAATCATGTTTTCATCAGCATAATTATTATATGACCTGCAAACATTTGATTTAGAGAGATTGTTTGAAAGCATTCCCGTAAGTCGGTTGTTAATTTATTCCTTTGTGACGGTATATTGCTGTGTGGATTGCTGACAGGTATAACTTTGGCTTTGGACATTCATGTGCTAATGCTGCGGTGATTTGTTTATTAATGTTCAGACCATCGTTTGTTAAACAACTATCATTAAAATGCTAGTCCACTAGTTAAATACATTTTGAGGTTAGGATTTAGTAATAGAGCTATAAAATTAATTAAAACAACTGCAACGAAATAAACGCTTAGCTAAGTTCGGTTTCGGTTCGATTTAACATTACAACTGTCAAAAGTACCGGAAATTGAACCAATAGTAAAACAATTCATGTTTTTTATATTACGTTTTTCTTGCCGGTCGACTAGCAATAGTCCTAATATATTCTGACCCTTATCCAAGTAAATCATACGGACTTTTCTGGCTAAAGAAAAGTAACATTGAACTGTTAGGTATGTTTTTTGAACACATATAGTACATTTGCATATCAAAGGAACTTATACAGTAACTTTATCATAAAAGGTCTAGATATAGATTAACTTATCTTAGCAAAGACCGTTTAAACTAAATTTAAATAAAAATATTTCAGACCAATACTAGAGAAGTATTTCGTGAATATATATTTAGATGGTATTACTTTAAATACCATCTAAAGGAAAATAAGATGGTTAAAAAAATGCTAACTCTAGACTTTTTAACACAATATTTTTTATTTTTTATTTATGTACGGATACGCCAAACATTTTGATGAGCGAAATTTCTTAAGCTACGTCATCCATGTTTCATTTTTTCTTATTTCTTCTCCCAGATTAACATTGTATCTAGAGCTTTACCAAATTCTTCGTAAAATAAATCCACACTTTGAATTATATAAAACTTAATTAATAATATAACGAATGAATAAAAAAGACGTCCATAATAAGAGTTGTCCAATTTTCCACGCCATTAACTCGGAAACTGGCCGCTCAATTTAAGTGGATAGTTTTTCTTAACAACTGCAATATATTTGTTGTGACGTGTTTGTAGTTATTTTTTAACGCTCTTTATACATGTCTAAGCATAATAAAATTCCACGAGACGAGATGCATAGGCGTCGCCAGATGGAGACAGGAGAGAGCTCACCTGTCGTAGAGAATCGAAAAAAGTGAAAGATCAAGCCTACTTTGAATAAGACCATGTTAATTGAAACTGCCTCCCACAAGAACTAGCCTACATGATAATGTAGCCAGCCGATGAACTGGCGACAGGCAGTTCACAAAAAAAAATTGAATTAACGGAAACAAAACATAGTATAAAAAAAACTAATTACAATTTAACAAAAGGTATAATATATGCAGAACGTACGCATTAACAAAGTTGTGGGGAGGTTATTAATAAAAATGTGGATTAAAACGTTCAGTACTCGTATTAACACACTCCATTGTGTGACACAAAGCGCTCTAATTCTACTGTCGTAATAGTCGTATTAAAGCATATAGTTATCTCCCTTTTTCCAAAGGAAATGAAAGAGATGTTAGAACGTTTTGACACGTGCATCGACGGAAGCCAATAGTAAGTAGGCTCATACTTCATAACGCGGGTATAATCATGATGATTTCAGCGCAAATAAAATGTCAAGGCTTACTTTTATATTGCAATCAGAACTAGAATAGAAGCTACGAACAATGTTTTATGGAATTATTATTTGATAAGGCCATTTTAATAATGTTATAGCCATATAAAATTGTAATAATCATTTCTTTGTCGCAGATATACTTTTAATGTTGCTGAGTTGTGAGAAGCTTGGTCAAAGAATGCGAGCACAAATGCTGTCAGAGAGATTCAGGTTTCCGCAGCTTAAGTTATTCAAACAAGCGAACTAAGTTAACTAACCTTTACATAGAAGTTAATAGTTAAGTGTGAAACAGGTATTGACAAGGCAGACGGGTGGAAAGTAATTCTCGACATGAAAATCGACCTTCAATATAAGTTAAGTCTAGTTGCTAACATTATTTGAATACATATAAGAGAATTAGTAGTTGAGATTACACAGAAGTTTGAGGTTCAAAAACAAAAGAAGTCATTGCCTTATTTTGATTAGTTAATTAATTAAATTTCGTATGAAAGTTTAATATTAGAGTATGTCAAAAATGTAATCACTTTTGTAATTAATGTAATTTTTCTATGTAAATATTTGATTTTCATCTTTGGCAATGTCAATACAGTTGTGAGGGCGATTCGAAATTAATTGTCTTGGGACATTTGTGTAAATTTGTTCGCCGCTATTGTCCGCCATTTTATAAGATACTTGTATTTAGTTATTGGAATGTTGGGTCTCTTTGATAGTAATGAAATTTTTAGTATGAAATGTATAAAAGACTAGCTATTCTCGTGCTCATTCGCATGGAATTATAAAAACTTTATTTTATTTACACATTTGTCAAAATTCCCAATTGCAAATGTCAAAATTACCGTTACTACAATAACTTTGTTTCCTTAATGTTGGCAGCTTGTTTATGGTTCCTTTCCCACATGAAGGTTTTTTGACAGTTTCTTTACACCCTAAGTTTAATAGCGTGAAAATATATAGCCTAAAGGGTGACGTAAGTATAGCGGTTTTTATTAAAGTAAAAA